AGTCCTCGTCTCCGACCGGAGGCCTAAGCTCGATGGTCTTAGGCAAACCTGCAAAAAGAAAATAAAGGAAATAAGAATGTAATGCTAGAAGAAGAAGCCTAACGCAACTTCTTCTGGAAAGAAATCTTACCATAGGAACGGGCCTCCCAATGGCCTTTCGAGAGTTTGCGCCACGAGCGCTTGGAGTAGGGCATTTGCGAGACAATACCTTCGATCCACTCCTTGAACCGAGGGATAGAATTTGGGACTCGAGCGACACCTGCACCAGCAAAAATACCAATGAGGAAAAAGGACACGAGCATGAAATCGACATTCAAAGGAAAGTTGTACTTACGTGATGCATTCCACATCTCGGGAAATGGCCTAGATTCAGCCGGAATCAAGTCCGAGGTCCTCACCCGGACAAAGTGTCCCTGCCAGCCTCGATCCCGATCTTCATCGATGCTTGAGATAGTGGCTTTACTATCCTGGCACACGAGCTTTATTAGTCCCCCTCGGAAGATTTGGGGACTATACAGATGGAGTAAATGATCTACGGTGAGCCGACATGAATCGATCATGTTCACAAAAAATCGAAGGAGGATCGGGATCCTCCACAACGATAGGTGGATTTAACGGAGGAATACCTCGTACCTCCTACAGAAATCTATAATGACCGGGTTCACCGGGCCCAATGTGAAGGGAAAAGTGTAAACACTTAGGTATCCCTCAACATAGGTAGTAATGGCCTCCTCGAAGTCGGGGACCACTATGTTCTTGTCGGCCCAGTTGCAATCCTTTCGGACCGCGGGGAGGTCCTCTTCGATGATTGAGAAAATATACCTGGCCTCCTCGCGCTGACCCTGCACCGTAGACAGCTTTTCAACCTTGAAGTCGTTAGTGACCGAACAACCCCCGGTAATGAACATCTTCAAGGGAGGTTCAACAACCGATTCGTCGGTAGTCACGTCAGCAGCGGACCTCTCGAGACGACCACATAGAGAGTGGTTTTGTTAATTTCGGCAGTCGGTTGAGAAGTAGAAGCGACCTTTTGGGAAACAGATTTGGAGGTTTTCGCCATTGCTATCTGAAAAAGCATGAAAAAGATGAAGAAGGGTTGAAGGTTGGAAGCTCATATGTGTTGGCCTGGGTAGAGAATGAGTAAAAATGTGCAACTTACTGAGGAATCTTGAGTAACAGAGGTAAAAATGCTAGAGTATAATGAAATCCTGAAGGCACGAGGGTAGAAGTTTGGATGTAAAGTAAAAAATGAACGAAGGAGGGGATATTTATAGGGGCTCCGCGATGTTTCGCGCAGCGATAGCCAACCGACGGCTGACACGCGTTTGAGGTCATAATGACATGACTGGCAAGACGTTTCGGGTTTTTTGTCGTTTTCTGTCACGTCGTATTGAAGAAGGAATCGGGGGGCTCATGTCGTTTCTCGTCAACTTACTATCTGAGAAACGAGGTGACTATCTGTATATAGGTAAACCGAGCTCATGGTACACCCCGGCTTCCGATAAGATAAATCAAGCTAGAGACATGATGTCAAGGGACCGGAATCGAGGCAAGGGTTTCACCGAGTTATGAGTTCGAGCTGTGGAAATAGTTTCTTTCAAAAATGAAACGTAAATTTGCGTACAATAGATCCTCGTGGTCTGGCAGTCTCCGGACCTACGCATGGCCGAAGCTTAGTGCATCTTTTTTACCGGCACAGAATAAAAGATATCAAAAGAAAAAGGCAAAATACATAGTTTACCCCCTGAACTATGGACCAAATCCCCGTGACACACTTTTTGCAGACAAAATTTACTTTACACACTCAACCTTTTTAGAGTGTGTCTAAGACACACCACTTTAATTTTGACCACTTTTTAAGGCAGGTGCATAGCACGCACCAACAAGATTGTAACACGTGTCATTATTTTATTTTAAAAAGAAGAAAATGCTTAAAAGTACAATTCTACCCCTAACTACCAAAAAATTTCCAATTACTCCATCTTCCCATGCTACCACTGAACCACGGGTGAAACGATCACCACCATCAAGGCCTTCAAAAGCACTAATTTTTTCAGCAATCCACCTTTATCCCAAATACAAAGTTCATCTCTCCCCACTTGTCAAAACCGCAGTCAAGACATTGAACCACCCGAAAATGTTAAGAACAAAAACCCATAAAAACATGGAGAAAATAACCCAGAAATCCATTCATGTTCAATTTCTGCCCATCCTGATTATGATTCCATTTTAACTCATAAAGCCGTTGTTTAGCTTCTGATTTAAGAAGAATTCAGTGAAGAGTTGGTAGTGACAATAGAGTCACTGGTGTAGAATGTAGCTATGAAGTAGCTATTGGTAGGGGTGTACATAGTTCGGATTGGTTCGGATTTTACAACTACCAAACCAAACCAAATGTGTCGGATTATTAAATCTAAAGACCGAATCAAACCAATAAAACTCGGGTTTTTCAATCTCGGTTTTTCTCGGGTTATTCATGTTATTCGGGTTTTTTCCTGGTAAAATCTTCGTAGAACAAAGCATATAATTTGTGCTCAAAATATTTCTTTAATCCTAGTAAGATACAACTATATAAAATATTTTTCAAAAAAATAATACAAAATATCAGATGTGTCATGACATTATCCTAAAATGTTCAACAATAAAGACAATAAAATTACGTAATATAAATATTGCTAATAAAAAAGCCATAATAAAAATAAACATAATCTAAAAGTACTAAGTCATGCTAAACTAAGTAGACTAATAAGGGAGTATTAATTACATGACTAAACGATAAAGAAAAAATAAAAATAAGTTAAGCATTTTTATCTAAATTATTGCAAAACAAAAAATAGATATTCAATACATTTTCGTTCGTAGTATTGAATTGAATGCCTTTTGTTAGCATTAGTATTGATTTGATTTTGGTTTGGGCTTTTGTTAGCATTATTTAATTTACTAATATTAATGGCTATAAAACTTATTGGAACATTCAAAAGTTCTAAGTCCAACCTTGAAATAATACCTTAAAAGATAAAATTGTAAATTTTTTATAAATTATATCACAATAAGTATATTTATATATTAAATATATCTAAAATTTCTATATATGTAATATCGGGTTGGTTTGGTTTCGGTTCGACTTTCTTTAGTTAAAATCAAACCAAACCAATTATGATCAGTTTTTTTTTCAACACCAAACCATAGTCGAGTTTTTTTTCTCGATTTGACTTGGATTATCGGGTTGGTGCGGTTTGTCGGTTTCCTTTGTACACCCCTATCTATTGGGAAGAAACGAAAAGGAAGAAAATTTTGATTGAAGACTAATGAAGGTACAAAAGAAGGAAAAAGGGTCTAAGGAAGAGGAAGACATGGGGGTGGGGGAGGTCAACGGGGGACGGTGGTGTTTAGGTGGGGGACAATAGGGGATGGCAGGGGTTCAATTGGGGATGAGGGGCTGATGCCTTTTTTCTCTTTTCTTTTTATCTATTAAAATAAGAAAAATAAAGAAAATCAAACAAAATCTTAACACGCGGGCTGACATAAGTATTTGGACACAATATAGAGAGGTTTTATGTGCTTAGACATTTTTGTCAAACACGCGCTGGCCATTTGGCAAAAGTGGTGTGTCTTAGACACGTTTTGAAAAGGTTAAGTGTGTAAAATAATTTTTATCCCCAAAAAGTGTGCCACAGGAATTTGGTACATAGGTAAGGGTAAACTATGTATTTTGCCAAAGAAAAAAGAAGGCTGAATACATACGGAGACACTTAAAGTTGACACGATTTTTCATTTAGACACCTAAACTCAAGGGTGTTCCTATTGAGCACTTATACTACCCGAAACTTATGTCAATTAAGCACTTCTTGCTGAGTTGGCACATAAAGTGAGTTTCACCCGATATAGGCGCGTGAAGATCCCAAAAAATAGATTTTTTATTTTTTTCTTTTTTATTTCCTTCTTCTTCTCCCTAAAAAACAAAACACATCTGCCAGTTGTCTCTTCACTGCCGAAATCCGGCGATAGAAACGGCAGCCTCATCCTTTCCAAAAAACAAACGAGCCCCCCCTCTTCTTCTTCAACCCTAAGAAACCAGCTGCACCCCATCTCCTCATTTCTAGCCGTCGTCCCAACAAATCAGGCTGCTCTAAGAGATTTTCGGCCACCACACTGCCGCTAGACTTCATCGCCGGCGGCTAGCGACCCATCTCCAAGACCATAGCCGCCAGAACTCCAACCCAATCGCCTCTTCATCTTGCTCAGGTCATTATTGGTCGGAGAGAAGCAGCCGCAACCCCTTCTTTCTCTCCACCATTGATTAAAACTGAAATGAAGAAGGCTGAAATTGTTGAAATTTTGTTGCAGCGATTTGGGTATTAAGACGCGTTCTATTCCGTATTATTCCATCCGGTTTAATGATATCATCTGAGCGAGTGGAAATCATGTGGAAGAGGAAAAGCTTTTGGAGGGATTTGAGATTCTCGGGTTCAAGCAAGAAATTGTTGAAATCCTGTTGCAGAGAACTACGACTAAATGAAAATCACCATTAATGGGGTCTTTAATAAGCTTGAAGGTTTAAAATAGGTTACTTGATTTGATGAAAGTTTGGGAAATTAATATTGGGGTTGTCTTCGGGTCAGCGCGGGGAATCTTTAGCTGAAGTTATAACAAATTTGGAGGAGTTTCTCTTAAAAATTTGAATTAAAATCGTGCTTGGAACAAGAACACGCATGAAAATAATGAAGAACACCAAGACCACTGATTATTTTGTTTATCAAATAGATTTAACATAGTTTTTCCTTTTTTTTTACTCAAAATAATATATGTCCTTTTTTTATTCGTCATTCGCCACGTCAGCAGCGAGTGCAATGCACAAACTTTGTAAAATTGGCTGATTGTCAAATAAGTGCTCAATTGGAATAATTTTGGGTAGTATAAGTGATCAATAGGAACACCTTTAAGTTCGGTGTCTAAATAAAAAATTGTGTTAACTTTAAGTGTATATTCGGCAAAAAAAGAAATTTTGCTAATAGCAGCCACAGGTACAAATACTAAAGCCAAAGATACTACACCTAACAACTTCGCCCTGCAAAAGCTACTTACAACCTTTTAAGACCCGATCGAAAAATCCTCAGAAACCCACAAAACCGAAAACTATGGATTTCTCCGACAGCAACATGTGGCGTGATCTTTTACTTCAAGCAGTCCTAATTCTAGCTACAGTTTTCATGTTCCTTTTCATGTACAATATTCCCCAGAAATTCTTCTCGAAGCTTCGTCTACGAAACCGAGCCGATATGCAAGCCAAGCGCCACTTCGTTCAAGGAGCTCAGCTTCTTTCCCAAGCCAAATCATCATTCGCGAAGGATCGATCCGCCGCCGCTTCATTAGCCAAATCTGCTGAAGCCGAAGCCGACTTAGCCATCGCTTTAGACCCGAAAGATGCCGCAGCTCACATACTCAAGGCTTTAGCTCTCGATTTGCAGGGATTTAAGACGTCAGCTCTTGATTCGATTGATATCGCGCTTTCGCCGCTCGCCGTGAAGTCGCTGTCGGAGCCGGAGAAAGCGGATGCTTTGTTTAAGCGAGCCGAGTTGAGACTCGCTGTGAGTCGACGCGGACAAGTTGACTCGGTCGTTGAAGATTTGACTGAGTCAGTTCGGTTGAAGGGCGATAATGTTAAGGCTTTTTGTTTGTTGGGAGATTGTTATGAGAAAAAGGGCTTAAAGGAGGATGCCCAAGAGGTTTATGAAAAAGCCCTAAAAGTTCAGCCCAATTTTGCTCCTGCTCGAGAGGCACTTGATCGATTGAATCCGAGTCTTGAACTCTAGTTGTGTTTTACCTTGAAGTTAAGACAAAAATGCTTGTCCAACATTTTGAGAATTAGTTTATCTTTTTATTTACGTTCACCATGATTGAAATTCAGAGTTTATGTATCAGAAATACTCAGAGCAAACCAACAAGTGAACAACTAATATGATGAATAAAATATATTTTGATCATTGAGCCTGTAGGCACAAATTAAAGGTGATCAACTTAGTTCTTTATGATGCTGCAGCCTGCCTAGCTAATTAATTTTTATTAGGCAAATAGTTTTGGCAGCCTCTGTAAGATGATCATTAACATTATTTAGATTGATGACTGTAAGATGATGAGAATGGTAATTGATCTTTTTTCCATGTGCTTAAGTGGTATCTGTATTGGTGGGAGGATACATATACTTGATGGAATAGTGGAGGTGCGCACAGGTTGACACTGCCCTTTATAGAACCTTTAATTAAAAGATGATGTGAATAGTTGATTTTAGAAGTCAGGACCAAAATTCCAGCAAGGCGGCAGCATTTGTTGGACAAAGTAAGGATTGGCCTGCTTGACTTGGCACTAAAAGTCTAAAAAGGTCATTGTCATATCTTTGAAAAACTTGGCATATCTTAACGTCTAAATATAAAGGTCACTGTTATATCTTGGAAAACAGCTAATGCTCAATTACTGCTGAAGTACCTAAGGTCTATGATCATCTGGTGACTTCAAAATCTTTAATTTGGTGTTGACTCATGGCTGTAGTGCCTACATTTAACAGAGGGCAAATTTATTGACACTACTATGGCTGGGGGGTTGTGTCCTATGCTTCAGCTTCTAGGGACATGCTGGATACTGTTGTGCTTGAATTTCTTGGGTTGCGACGGAAAATTAATGGAAGAGGAAAAAAGGGCACTTTTAGAGCTGAGGGACTCCCTTAACTATCCCAATGGCTCTGCTTTAATTAATGAATGGGTTGGAGAAGACTATTGTGCATGGGCTGGTATTTTTTGTGGCAGTGATCCGAACAATGATTCACGTGTTCTTGATATTTTTCTTACCAATAAAAGACAACTTGGACTTGGAATATGGCATCCTGTTGACTCGATTCACACATCTTCAGTCTCTGTATGCATCTGGCAATGCTATTGGCAACTGGATCATGCCAGAAGGTATTCTTTTGATCAAAAAGTGCTTTCATTACCTGTATTCATGTTTCATTTGATCAAACCTACATGATGCTACAACTTATCTCCCTCAGTATGTAGTAGTATAATTTGTACAAACACTTACTGCTGTTAATATTTGTTTAACACAATGAGCACTTCCCCTTGAATCCTTAGATCTCTAAGATTTGTTGTTTTTTTAAAAGATTCTGCACCCATGGCCCTTATCTCCTTCACTTCTTCGCATGTTGGAGTATCACTTTTTAACAACTTAAACTTGCAGCATTCTGCAAATTGCACAACCTGAAGGAATTGGATCTAAGTTTCAACCCTTTAAATGGTGATGCTCTGCCTCATTTTCAAGTATGCAGCCTCGCATCTGTAGGACAGCTGTACCTTTCAGGGGTTTATCCTAGTTCCTCTTTACCACTTCTCAGAGGTTTGTTTTTTCTCCAGTTGTAGATTCTTAATCAATCGTAGATGGTGCATCAAAGTTTGTACCTTGGTTTCGTTGTAACACATTTTAATGAATTCATGTATCAGTGTGTGGACTAAAGAATATCCGGAGATTAGATCTAAGCAACAATAATCTTATAGATGATAGTATGCCACATTGCCTATTCAATGATCTTCCATACCTTGAAAGCTTTGAATTGTCCAGGAATAACCTCAAGAATTCCAATCACGTTCTATCAGGTAATTTAAGTTGGATATTTTCTGTTGTTACATGCATCTTCTTCAAATTGTCATTATCATTTTGATTTTCCTATTGTGAGAACATCTTTTAATATTAGTATTTCCATGTATAAATGGTTGCCTCCAGCTGAACAAACTGTTAATTGGTGGTAGACCCTCTCATCTGCTCTCCTCAACTGCCATCTTCTCGCTCAATTCTCTTTTGTTAAAGCATTTCTTAGTGAGTGTATGAAACACATATGAACTGACTACAATGTTGAAGTCAATGACATGATTCTCATTAACTAAATATAGCTTGTATAAATGAAATACATGTCACCAGGGAGGGAACTTATGCCATCAGATGAAGACTGCAAAGATGAACTATTTTCTTGGTTGGCTAACTCCAACCTTGACCTACTCAAATTTCTTAAACTGGACAGGAGTGAGTTATGGGACCTTCCATAAGCCTGAGAGTTTTTTCCCCGATAAAAATACATAATAAACATGGTACAAGTGAAGTTCTAGCCTGTAGGTTTTCCAATTTTCCCTAACAAACTTCATGCCAGCATAAAGTAAGGCACAAATAATTTATCCACTGCGTCGAGTTTTCAGAATTTTCCTATATATACGAAACTCGGTGTTTACTCTGACTAGTGAACTTGACAAAAAACAACCCTCATATTGCTTCATGTATTTCTTGCAGCTTTATGTAGACTGTGGAATCTCAAAAGGTTGGATTTGAGTTATAATTTTCTGGATGATGGAAGCGTACCATCCTGCCTATTTGAAAAGCACTCGCTGCTCGAAAGTTTAGATATTTCACATAATAATATCAGGGGTTCACCTGGTTTCTTTTCGGGTAATGCTGAAATTTTTAGAATTTCTTTCAATTCCTTTACTTTCTGTTCAATGATGAAATGGAATTCACTGAGCAGGCATCAGCACTAGCATGTCTTTTCTATCTATGAGACATGGTTCTCTGTCAGGTTTATGATCTTCTGATGAAGTCCTCAATAGAAATGTTCTACGCCTGGTTCTAGGATGAAAAAATCTTTGACAAAAGTTTCTACTATGCTTTCCATTTGTTGTTATAGAAATGCAGGGTAAGGTTGCGTACTGTAGACCTTTGTGGTCCGGCCCTTCCCCGGACTCTGCGCATAGCGGGAGCTTAGTGCACCGGGCTACCCTTTTTTCCATTTGTTATTCATCCATTGCTAGGGCAACTTTTGGATTTGAAAAGCCTAGTAATATTTTTTTTGTTGATAAAGAAGCCTAGTGTTATTGTTTTTCTAAATATGCTGTTCTTATTTTCCCTTGCAAAAAAACTATTTCTCGTCGATGACTCTTCCAATATTCTGTTTGAATCATCAGAATTGCAGTTATTTTCATATTCTAGCATGCCCTGAATTTAATCAACTTAATTGGGACATATTGGTCTCTAGTGTCAACACTTTTGCTTGTTGATATCATATTTTAATTTTGACAGTCTTTCACGCAAAGAGCGTTTTAATTTCTGATGTGCCTTTTTGTCTAGTGAAGTTCTGGTCTCGGACTCACAGTCTGCCCAAAAGGTAGAATCAACATTTTGCATCTTTAGTGTGACTGACAATCCTTTTTTGGTGGAGAATATCTACAAATTTTAGTTCAATTTCCTGATTCAAAAGGTTGAAGGTAAAAACCTAATTGTTGAGTTGAAAACTGACCTGCTCTTTTTTTTCTTTTTGCCCCTTTTGTCAAAAAAGAAAAAAAAAGCAAAAAAAACAATGTGATGATCAGCAATGTAATTAATCTGTCTTTTGCTCTAAAGCGGATCAAGAACATTGGACAAAGCTAATAGTTGGTGTCTTCCTTTGAATAATTATTCTGACAACTTGCTGAAATTTACTTCTGTCATGCCAGAATTTGAGCCAAAAGCTGTATATATTTTCTGCATAACAATGTTAAATTTCTGCTGGATATTAACTACTTGTTACGCTTTTCAGGAATCTGTAAACTTAGGAACCTGCAGGTGTTAAATCTCCAGGATAACCTTATCCAAGGGTGGACTTGATCCATGCTTTGGTGGAATGAGTTCCTTGGTTTCTTTAGATCTTTCCTTTAATCATTTGGAGGGGAGTGTTTCTTCTTCCATATTCAGCAACCTGACTTCACTCGAGACCCTCCTTCTTTCAGACAATCGGTCAACCTTGAATCCATTGATCTTTCAATTAACGAGTTCATAGTTGACAGTGAAACTCCATCTTGGGTCCCATCTTTTCAACTTGTATCCCTTAACCTACGAGATACTAGATTAAACCAGAAATATGGCCACGTAATTCCAACTTTCACTTCCAAACAACACAAGTTGAAGTCCCTGTCTTTGTCCTATAATGCCCTTCAAGGAAACGTTCCGTCCTGGTTGTTGTATAACAATACACTTCTTATGTTGTCTTTGAGAGGCAACCATCTGTATGGTGGAATTCCTGCATCTTTTCAGTTTCAAGCATCAAATCTTCTGATGCTTGATGTATCAGATAATTGCTTGGGCCGTACACTTCCCACTAACGTGCTCGAGTTATTTCCAGACCTACGCTATCTTAACCTGTCAAATAACGCCCTTGAAGGCATCCTTCCTTCATCTTTTGACCATCTGTCAAAGTTAGAGGTCCTGGACCTTTCTGACAACTTCCTGTGGGGAAAACTTCCTCCAACTTTAAGGCAAAATAACACTTCATTGGCACATTTAGTTCTTTCAAACAACAACTTTCATGGGGAGGTTATGCCCCAATTTTTGAATATGTCAAATCTTGCATATTTACATCTTCAAAATGATGGATTTATTGGAGTCCTCCCTGATGCTATGTTTAACCTTCCTGTTCTGAAGGTCATGGACATTAGTGGGAATTATTTGTCAGGAAATATTTCAGATTATTTTCCTCGGTTTCCACATCTGGCCATACTTCTCTTGGCAAGAAACCGATTTCATGGGACAATTCCATTGTCTTTGTGCCAGATGCAAAAGCTTCATATTTTGGACATGTCTGCAAATTTACTCTCTGGGGTTTTACCTTCTTGCCTTGTTAACATAGCCGCGTGGATAGAGGAATCTGAAGTTATACTCCATTCCTTTATGTGGTTATCACCCTCATATACTAACTACAGAGTCAAAGTTCCTTTAACAACCAAGGGCAATGCACTCTCTTACGAATGCATCCCTCTTTCTCAAATGACTACACTTGATCTATCTATGAACCGTTTTACCGGTGAAATTCCATCACAACTGGGAGAACTTGCAGCCCTTCATTCATTAAACCTTTCTCACAACATCCTATCTAGCCATATTCCAGAATCTTTCAGGAACTTAATAACTGGAGAGTTTAGATCTTTCTTATAACCAGCTAGTGGGAAAAATCCCTCGTCGGTTGGCTCAACTTGATTCCCTTTCAACTCTAAATTTGACTTTCAATCATTTATCAGGAAGAATCCCGTTCGAAAACAAATTTGTCACTTTTGCAGCATCTAGTTATAGAGGTAACAAGGAACTCTGTGGACTTCCATTGGAAAATGATTGTGTGCTCCCGAGGCCGCCTCAGCAGCATGAAGAAGAAGAAGAAGAAGAAGAAGAGGAGAAGGAAGGAATTGGTGAGAGTGACTTCTTTTTCTTCTCATGCATTGCTGTTGCTTATGTTGTGGGATTTTGGAGTGTCATTGCTCTTCTTCTTAGTAGGAATTGGCGCAGGACATATTATGCTAAGGTTGATACTTGTATTGAATTGTGCAAGGAGAAGCTTCATCTTTTCTAAATCTTCTTGATAACTTGTGTTTCTTGACATCTTTTATTGTGGGATATGAACTTTCAACTTGCTTTGATGAACACACTGTGGGATAGTTGCAGTGTTTGGTGAAGAGTTCATAAGTTTGACGAGAAGTTGACTTCGGTGTTATCAGACTCCTATTGTGGTTTAGGAACTTTGGATAGGTTCATTTAGTTTATTGAAACTAGTGTGCAAAGTTTGGTTGTGATCCGGAATATTTAAGGGTGATTCGGACGCGTTTGGCGAAGTTGGAATGCTTGAAACTTAAGAAAGAGTTCACAAGCTTGAGAAGATCGTTTCAATTCACGAACTTTGGTTAAGATTGGCAAATAATGTTTTCTTTATTAAGACTGAAACATCTTGGTAGCTAAAGGAAGATATTATCAACATTGCCAGTCGGTTAATTTAGATAATTGACATTATTTAAAAAATTGAAAGTTTCGCGTCTATTTTTAAATTCATAGACGACAATGTCTTGCAGTTGAAAACTGAAACTTAAATTTTCTGTAACCCATAGTTCAAAAGCATACTAAAATTTGTTTCGATCTTATTAAATCGTGAAAATTTTTTGTGTAGATACTTATCTGTTGGTTTTCTCCATCATACAAATTTATTTGTACTAGTTGTGCACATGTCATGTAATAAAGATAGAACAATATCATTTTTTTGGGTGTGTTTTGAAACCTTTTACTCAAAATTATTATGTCAACTAGTTTATCTCTTCTCTTGCATACATCAATCAATTAAATATGCATAGATATGTTTGTCACAACTCAAGAGAGATGCTTACAGGAACCTTAGGGGCGGTCTAGAGTAGTAATGATCATATTGTATCTGCTGATTTACTCTTTTCCTTATTTTTTGATTATCCACTGTTTATAGTAATTGATAAGACTTGTCGTATAGCCCGTTTGGCCAAGCTATAAAAATCAGCTTATTTTGAGAAGTACTTTTTTTCAAAAGTGCTTTTTTCAAAAGTACTTTTGGTGAGAAGCAGTTTGTGTTTGGCTAATTAATTTGAAAAGCATTTTTGAGCGGTAATTAGTGTTGGCCAAGTTTTTAAAAACTGCTTCTAAGTGTATTTTTCAAAAAAAAAAAGTATTTTGGAGAGAAGCTACTTTTTCTGCTTCTCCAAAACTACTTCTGTTTCTCCTCAGCACTTTTTTTTCTTCCAAAAACTTGGCCAAACACCTTAATTTTAAAAAAAAAATACTTTTGACCCCAAAAAAACGCTTTTGCTTCAAAAGAAGCTTGGCCAAATAGACTAGTAGTTTACAAGCTGTAACCTCTGTTAAAAGGAAAATGCTCAACTTCTTTACTAGTTGGCGTTTGCTTCAAAATTTTCCACAAAAGTTTCAACACTTTTTCTATCTTTTTTTGTTGTTTGTTAAAACATAATTTTGTAAAAAATAACAACATACCTAACGTATTCTCACTAGTGGAGTCTGGAAATTTTGCAAAAATATCAAAATAATTTTTTTCAAGACGAGTTTTGGAAAAGCTTCTTCATGGTCTCTGTGTCTTTTTGGGCACTTTTTCAGAAAACTGGTAAAAGTAAAATTTACTGTATATGCTTCACTGCCTCTGACAGTTGATCAATGCAAAATGAGGCCATACGTATAAGAGAGTCGTTGAAAAGGATCAAACTGTAAACTTTCTAAATTTAATATTCCAGCAGTTATAGGGGGATTTGCAGCCGTACCCTATATTTATGCCACCTTTTAACTTGTACTCTATTTTTAAAAATTATTGATTTGGTAGCCAGCTGACAAAAAATCAGTAATAATATGACAATTACACCCCTGACAAAAGATATAAAACCTGCATCACGCATTAATCGCGTGATCTGCAACCTCATTCGTGAAAAAAGATCTCTTGCTCTCTTCTCAGTAGCTTTATAAAAAATTTAGAAACTTATCCAGATTCATCTTCAGAATCACACTTGCATGAAGTTGTTTCACGTTGAAGCTGAAATTTCATGCTAATGTAACATGAAGTTGTTTCACATTGAAGCTAAAACTTCATACTAATGCATGCTGAAGTTATATATCCTGCAGTCTACAGTTTTGTCATGAGTTTTATCCGAAACTTCAGTCTAAACATGCTGAAGTTATTTAGTTCATTTGCTAAAACTTCAGACTAAACATGCTTAAGTTTTTTAGTTCATTTGCTAAAACTTCAGACTAAACATGCTTAAGTTTTTGTCTTGCAGTATGTAATTTTCTAATGATTGCTAATGTATGCTGAAGTTATTTAGTTCATTTGCTAAAACTTCATACCAAAACATGTTGAAGTTTTGTAACGCAATCTACAGTTTTATCCTGAGTTTTATCCGAAACTTCAGTCTAAACAAGCTGAAGTTTTTTAGTTCATTTGTTAAAACTTCAGCCTAACATACTTAAGTTTTTGTCATGCAGTTTGTCAATAGTCTTTTATTAAAGAAGGGTAAAATCGTCTTTTTAAAATGCTTTTAACAAAAAAAATAGGTACGGATGCAAACAAAAAAACAAAGCGGGTATAAGTTAAAATGAGGCGGCCAAATAGGGCGCTCCATGCAATTTTTACGCAGTTATAGTCCTAGTCTTTGTAAGTAGCCTGTTTGGCCAAGCTTCTTCGAATCCCAAATCATTTTTTTTCCCAAAAAAGATGCTCTTTTCTCAAAATTGAAGTGTTTGGCCAAGCTTTTAAAAAAAAAGTACTTTTGAGTAGAACCAGAAGAGTTTTGAAGAAGCAGAAAATTATATCTTCTTCCCAAAACCACTTTTGAGTAAAAAACACTTAGAAACACTTTGTAAAAGCTTGATCAAACACTAATTATTGCTCAGAAATATTTTTCATTTAATTAGTCAAACACAAATTGATTTTCACCAAAAAAAAAATTTTGGGAAAACACTTTAAAAAATATATATTTATCAAAATAAGCGGATTTTGGAAGGGTGACCAACAGGCTATAAGCCAATGAAAAGCATAACATAACCACAGTAAAAAAATATATATATATAGAAGAAAATATTTGGAAAAACGATTCAAGTCTTGTCGTAGAAGATATCAAGGGACAAACCTCACATAAAGAGAAGGGTTTTAGTTTCAAAGAATGGTAGAAAAGACCTCCGATACTTTGGTTAAAATTTTTTTGAATGGTAGAAAAGACCTCCGATACTTTGGTTAAAATTTAACTATCTGCAGCTTCAAGGTAACTTTTATCCTTATTCCATTCTATACTCACAAATGTATGAGTATGTAGACTTGTTAAGGAACAAGGTATCATGTAGTTATTTGATGATAAAATCATATGGATGTTTTTGACGTATTGAGTTTACAGAAGTAAACAAAAAAGGTGTTGTGTTAAAAAGTGAAAATGGTGAAGCTTGGAACTCAAAACCAGCATTTTTTCTTTCAAATATTATGGCAACAAGGTATCATGTAGTGATATCCAACTGTATGTCTTCTTTACAATGAGATTATTTTGGAGTACTGAATTAGAAAGCGAAAAGGGTGAAGCTTGGTACTCAAAACCAGCTCTCTTTTTTTCTCTTGCAATTTTGTGCGGAAAAAGTTGTTTGAACTTTATTATTTTTAGAAAGACTCTAGTCCTTGCTTCAAGTTTGAAACCTTTTCCTTTCCTAGGGTTTCTTTTTTATCCTTTTACATTTAATGAAATTCTAGAAGGTTAAATATTCTTGTCTTCTATGCTAATTTCATGTTTTGTTAACAAAAGATAGCTAACTTTCCCATAAAATTTGTCGTGTGATATTTATTCTTTGAGCCCATTTTGAAAATTTGATTGGTTAGTTTAGTTAAAATTTTAACACTTATTTGAATTGTTTGGGATTCCGTTTTGACGCCCTATTGCATTTGATGAAATCCTTCGTCTTATACGGTAGTCATATGTTTAATTTTATCTTTCATATTGATATGACGGGGATATTCTGCTTGAGATAGCCTTCATAATTGGGTTACCTTTTTTGCTGACATACATCTACATAATGCTTTTTCTTCCTACAACAACAACAAATCCAGCTTAATACCATACATGGGGTCTGGGGAGCGACTGGTTTTGGATTCCTATCCTGTATTTAGAATTTGGTTGTTTTCCATGATCATAAAACTTGAGATGTATTTACTACTAGGAAAAAATGCTTTTAATCTTATATTTCAAGACGCTTGGTTAGTGCACATGTTTTTGTTATTGTTTTCCTGCTTATGGGTTACTATTGTTTTAGCATATTCAGCCTTGATAAGTAACTCACCTTGAATTCATTTTATTTCTTGATCAGGTTTTTAGTTTTCCAGATTGTTACCCTTCTCAGGAAAAAAAGAAGAGGAGTTTTGAAGATTGTAACCATTTGAAACAATGTGGTTATGTATACTACTTCATGATGGGAACTGAAGATAAAACGCTGCTTTGTTACTGCCACTGGGGCAGAAAGAATAAGGTGTTACCAGATGGATCCATTTCGTATACGCGAGGTATTACTGATCAGATTATTATTAGCACAGGCATAAAGTACAATGATTTTGTGAATGCAGTTTTTGGCCGATTAGTCATTGATCCTTCAGATAAGATCTTGCATTTTACAGTGAAGTTTGATAGGTCCGAATTAATACGGCTGAGGGACCAAGAAGGTGTCGATACCCTGTTACAATTTAATGATAGTTTTGCTCATGTTTATGCATCAAGTTTGGAGGAGGAGCCTAACTCTGTACCGCCATCAGGTGGTGCCAAAAAAGTTGAACTTATTGTTTATTCTAATTCAAAACCAGATAAAACTCCTGCATGTGATGATGAAAATGATTTGGCAAGCCTTCTGAAGAAGGCACGGTCTAACCAGTCAACTGGAGACAGCAAATCTCTGAAGAAAGCATGGGCTCACCAGTCAGCTGGAGATAGTAAACCTCAGCAGAAAGAAGATGTTGGCGGTGATAATCAAAGACATGCATGTGCAGCTAGACCGTGCAGTAATTCTGTGGAAAGATTAAATCAAAATGGATTGGGCTGTCCTGAAAGGGATGTGCAAACCAACAATTTTAAAATTGGGACTGTTAATGGACAGGCCTCCAGACCGCCATCAGGGGGTGCAAAAAATATTGAACTTCTCGTTGATTCTGATTCCGAACCAGATACCATTTCTGATAGTAATCCTGCACTGGTGTATGATTATCCTGATCCTGAATTCAGTGATTTTGACAAGCACAAAGCAGAAAATCGCTTTGCAATTGACCAAATCTGGGCTTGCTATGATACGGAGGATGGTATGCCAAGATTCTATGCCCACATTAGGAAGGTATCCAGTCCTGAATTTAATGTGATTTTCAGTTGGCTCGAGGCTCATCCAGAAGATCAAGGAGGCAGAGCTTGGGTCAGGGCAGAGTTGCCTGTTGGCTGTGGGAAATTTAAACGTGGGTGTACTGATTCCACTTCTGATCGACTTACATTTTCTCATCAAGTTCAGTGCGAGATGGGCAAGAGAGGTTTGTACCCATAGGAAGTACAAGTATGAAGTTGTGGAGATTCTTTCTGATTATGTTGGAGATGTTGGTGTCCAAGTTGGTTACTTAGGTAAAGTTACTGGATTTGTTAGCCTTTTCCAGCGAACAATGCTGACTGAAGTTGGTACATTCTTTGTAAAGACAAATGAACTTTACAAGTTCTCTCATCAAATTCCCTCTTTCAAAATGACCGGAACTGAATGAGAGGGTGTACCTGCGGGATCGTTTGAACTTCATCCTTATTCTCTTCCCCTCAATCCCAATGATATTTGGTACCCGGGGAAAGGTAAGGAAGGCAGCAGGACTGCAAATTCTGAACCTGTAGAAAATCTTCTGCCTGAAGTTCCTCTTGGAACTAGAGATGAGTCCAGGAATGCAACGCCATCTCCTAAATCAAGGGACTTGAATGGCATCCATGCTACTGATGGAGAGTCTGCTAAGGTTCGAATATCTCCTAAGGAAGTGAACATCTCTAAGAAAAAGCGAACTCAGATGAGCTCTCATTCTGCCAATGACAGTCCTTCCAGTGATTTTGACGATAATTATGTTAAAAAATGCCGTCACTCAAGTCCCAGCATACCATCTCATTTGTCATGTCAAGCTGATAAAGAGTTGCACTCGCGCATACAGAGCTTTGGTCTCAGCAACTCCTTTGGAAGCTCAAAGAGTCCAATAGCTTTGTCAGCCTATGACAGTCCTTACTTTGATTTTTTTGATAAAATTGTTAAAGAAAGCCGTTACTCAAGTCACAGCTTACCAATCCATTTGTCATGTCAAATTGATAGAGAGTTGCACTCGCGCATACAGAGCTTCGGTCTCAGCAACTCCTTTGGAAGCTCAAAGAGTCCAATAGCTTTGAAAGTTTCGAGTAGATCAGGTATGGGCTCTTTTATGGTCAAAATAGTACATTGCCAAACACTTATGCTCAGATCAAGAGGATTGTTCCTTCCCCATTCAAACTGCATGCAGTCCTACTTGAAGTGAGTGCAGGGCATAAAAATGCTCCTCAGACTGTTTGTGGGATGTTCAAAGTCCAGAACGAAAGTTCGAGTCTTTGATCCTAGTATCTTCTCTCATGTGGTGAAAGCAGTCTCTAATAATAGGTTTGGGTTTGTAATCTATCCAAGAAAAGGAGAGATTTGGGCACCGTACAAGAACTGGAAAAAATCAGGTTTAGATCCAGACAAGTTGGAGTATGAGATAGTCGAGATCATTGAGAATTCAATAGACGGGATAATAGTTTCATCCATGGTGCGTGTGAATGGTTTCAAGTCAGTCTTTGCGTGTCCAGGAAAGCAAAGATCGAATTCTGTTATTCTAGAAATAAAGAAAGATGAGTTGGGGAGATTGTCTCATCAGATTCCTGCATTTCAGCTGACTGGGGAAAAAGGAGGGGTTTTGAGAGGCTGCTGGGAGCCTGATCCTGCTTCAGTACCGTGTTCTCTATGAAGTGATGCACCAGTTATAGTGTGATGGGATTAACACACTGATGGCTTTCTGTTCTCATCAGTTTCTTGCTCGATGATTAAGACGGAACACAGCTATAGGGAGGGCAACAAGTTAGCAGATGCATTAGTGCGCATGGGTCTGTAGTTTTTGGAAGTTGTTGTGTGTTATGTACCCCTCCCCCTTTTGTAATAGGCTTATACACCCAAGAATATCAAGGCTCTTAATATAGTAGGATAGTCCCTAAGTTTTTGTAAAGACTCTTATTATTATATAAAACTATACTTTTAAGCGCAAAAAAAGAAGAAAGATCAGATATGTAGACATGACAGATTCTGTCTTCTGCTTTACTCCAATGAAGGGAGTTTTTTCGCCGGAATTCATGGATGGTGTCATTATAAATCTTAGGTTACAGTAGTTAGTAGAATCCCTGCCACTGGGGCTGAACACTTTTGTCTGGTGAATGAGATGGTTGCTGGAGCATGTAGTAAGGATATTAACGGACATGTTTTTTCTTTTAGAAGGCATCTGTTGTTGTAATCTATCGTATTTTGTCAGGAGAATGGTAAACTTGTCTTGTTTTGAATAAGCTATTCGTTGATACTTACCGTGATCATTCAACTTGAGTTTGGAATTGAACGACTTCGTGACTTGGGTGATATTGAAAGTTGATGTCTTTATTCTCATTGATTTCAGTTGCAGAAAATGATAATGATTTCTCATGCAAGATTAAGAAACCAAAGAACTAAAGTATCTCTCGGTTTGTGCTGAGAAACCGAAAATTCTGAAATAAAGGCAACTTAAAGGGAAAAAAGTTGGAAGAGACCAAGTACACGGCTTGAACACATTTTCCCCCGTCTCTACGAAGGAAACATGACACTGTATAGCCGTTGTAAGAATAATAGCCGAAAAAATATATAAAATTTGTATATATATATATACATTATGTATGTTTATATATATAAATTTTATACACTTTTTCGGCTACCAGATGTAATTAGTTTCTGGCACGGGCTAAAAGCGATAATACCCCCTCTATGAACTCTATATTTGGGTCAATCAAGTCTCTTGGTGGAATTTTGAAGGTAATGGAAGAAAAATACTACACCAAAAAGGTAATGTATTCTCAAGTTTCTTGTGATGAAGTATCTGAGTTTGAAATGATTGACAAATAGATCAGTCATAGAACCAATGAAGAAAATATTGTCAACTTTGCAATGGTCCTATCTTCTTTTGCACTTAATAGATACTCCTTTTAAAAGTTCATTTGACTTGTAAAATGTTCGGAAGAACACATTAGCCTGATATCAATATTAGACACTAATACTATTTCATTTCAATGAGCGTTAAACCAAAAATAAATGATAGCCATGTTTTTTACTCTCTCTGCCTTTTTTCCCCTCTGAAAAGCTGAAATTTCAGTCAAATATGTCTTTAATATAAGAGTATAGTAGAGATAGTAAACAATCTTGCTTCAGTCCACAAGCTAGAAAGTGAGCAGAACAAGTTTATCTGTCTTGCAGAACAATCAACTGAATGTTAAAGAGTAGTAAATGTTAGTGCATTGGAATGTAGCTTGCAAGGTAACAAACAACTAGTTCACTTTGTCCTGTTTCCATATTCTTTTTTCGTTATGAGATGTTTATTTGTAGCATCAGTTCTAACCTTTCTGTTATTCACCTTGGGTTACTTTTTAGCAATATTGTCGTTATGCTGCTTCCTCTCTCATTTTTACATCTTGTTTGGATGGTTGTTATCTATCGTTTCATAATATATCGTCTAGTATTGTATTGTATTTTGATGTGTACAATAAAGTGCTATTGATGGAACGACGCTACCACACCAAATCGGTTATTCCATAAAGTGCTACTTTTCGTCTTTATTTAACGACTGATTTAACGATATGATACAATAATATAAATAACAATCAAAACAAATATCATATTTAAAATAACAATACGATACAATACAACAGGTAACAACCAAATTCACTAGCCATAAATTTGGCAATAGTTCAACTCTTACAATGATGCTCAAAAGCTCATCTATCTTCTCTGCCCCTCATTCTTTTTCGACCCTCGACTCTTGTACTAAATAAAAATGGCTGTCAACAAATTTTTCGTTGTTTATATTGGTTTCTTAAATTGGAAATATAACAATATATAGCAAAACAATAACTGTAAAGATATATGTGAATGTCACATATATAATGTAGTAGTAGTATTTTTTGGTTTAACTTTTACAATTCCTGGCAACATGACTGATTTCTTTTAGCTGTCAGAATCTGAAGTACATATATTTAGAGAAATCATACATTAACCTCAATTAATTTGGAATTGAAATGTTGTTAACTGTTTAATTGATACTAAATATAATAATAATAGCTACTTATCTCTTGGTTTTCTCCATCATACAAATTCATTGTACTATAAAAAAAAGTGAGAAACAAAAGTTAATTTACAGTTTTACCCATCAAAAACTAAGTGACCACTTTGCCCTTTAATTAAACATTATTAAAAATATTTTGTAAAAAAATATAAATACACATTCTAATAAAAAAAATATTATTACATGTATTTTAATGCATTATACGTTAGCATAGTTGAAGAGGCAGGTTTCATTGAATTTAATCAATTTATTGCTTACCAGAATGGCCGTTACTTTTTCAACCTTAATATTCCCTATGAATGGAACCTATATATTGTTTATTTGGACTCAAACACCTTAATAGGCGTTTAAAAAAAAAAAATACATATCTATATATAGCGTGCAAATTGAAGACGCTATATTTTAACGGTAACTTTTGCCGTTAAGGTATAGCGTCTTCAATTTGCACGCTATACTTGTCTGACAATTTGACTTCTGCTATAGCGTTTTCTGAACATATGCTATATATAGCGTTTTCAAATCATACGCTATATGCCTTTATAATAATACCCTCCGTCTTCTTCCTCGACAGAACCCCTTCCCCAATTTTTTAAAAAACTCTCCTCTCTTCTTCTGGTCCCCCCGCCCACTGCTCGATTTAAAAAAAAAAAAAATTGTGGGCCCCTCCCGTCACACAAAAGGCCAGTAACGTAGGTCCCACATCGTAGTAGAGCATTTCGGACTCGTGGTTTAACTCTTTCGTCTTCAGATTTTCACGCAAAACACTCACAACGTCGAAGTATTTCGATTTATTTTATGTCCAAACTTGTATAATAATGTATATCACTGCTTATTGAATGTGTTTCCATGTCCTTTTGTGTATTATTTGGAAAACTAATATGTTATATTTATCCGGACTTAGATATTAGTGTTCTAAAAAAATGTAAAATTGAGATTTAATTTTTTATGTTAATATCCGTATTTAGATATTAGTATTTCCATGTCATTTTGTGTTTTATTTGCGAAACTAGTATTGTTGTAGCTATTTTTGTTAATGTTATGTGATTAAAATGTATATGTTGTTTATATTTACTTTATTTATTAGCGTAGCAAAATGTAGAAACTTTTAGCGCAGTAAACTGTATAGTATTTTAGCGTAGAATCCTTGTATTTTAAGTATTTCTTAGAATGGTAGATGAAAATATATACTTTGTATAATTTTAGAATTTAAATTATAAAACAAACACTCAAAAAATTGAATTTGACACACAAAATATTCATGATAGTTTGGTGCTATCGGGCCTAAAATATCGAGCCTGGAACCCAATTGTTATATATACTTTGTAAAATTAAATAATTAAAAATATAGAATTTAAATTATAAAACAAACACAGGCAGACAAAATTATCAAAAAATTGAATTTGACACACATAAATATTTATGATAGTTTGGTGTTATTGGGCCTCAAATATCGAGCATGGAACCCAATTGTTATATGTACTTTGTAAAATTAAATAATTAAAAATTTAGAATTTAAATTATTAAACAAACACAGACAGACAAAATTATCAAAAAATTGAATTTGACACACATAAATATTCATGATAGTTTGGTGCTACTAGGCCTCAAATATCGAGCCTGAAACCCAAATTGTTATATATACTTTGTAAAATTAAATAATTAACATACAATTAATGTTGTTTAATTTACAGTTGATGACATGAACGCGACTATACATCCCGGCCCTTACTCTCGTGAGCTATTAGTGCTTCAGGGCGATCATAGGTCCGCCCATATATGGGAGGGAGAGTTACATTCCCAGACTCCCGCGCTAGGAGAGTGGACGACCTGTGGGATTTTCTTCTTGACAGAGTTCTCCACGAGCGTGTAGTCCATCGCCTCCAGGCCACGGGATTCTATAGGATTATTGAGATCGGTCAGATACAGATTGACTGGGCGTTGATCACGACATTGATTGAGCGGTGGCGACCGGAGACACATACTTTTCATTTGCCCATTGGCGAGGCTACCGTCACGCTGTAGGACGTTGAGGTTTTATATGGCCTGCCCGCTGATGGCATGGCCGTTTCACTGCCTATTGCTATGAGATATATGTCGTGTGATCGTTATTTGGACATGCTGCAGCAGCTCACGGGTTTCAGGCCACAGGACGAGGCTGCATCGTCGGGTGCTAGTCGGTTGACTTTGACCCCTATTAGACAGCACCTGGAGCTACTCCACCCCGATATCACCGACGATACAGAGGAGGAGCATATCACCCAGTATACTAGGTTGTTGTTGCTTCTTCTATTTGGAGGGGTCTTGTTCCTGAATACTTCGGGAAACCTAGTCAGCCTTAGATTTTTGCATCATCTTCAGATGCTAGATAAGTTACCCTATTACAGCTGGGGTGGTGTTGTTCTCGGCTACAAGTATAGGCAGATGTGTCGGGCGAGCATGGGCACTCAGAGAGATGTTTGTGGTTTTATGCCGCTTCTACAGGTGACAACATATTCAAATAAAGTGTTCATCAGTTCCAACTCTACCTACTTAGACTTTATCGTAAACATTACGTCAACTTTGTATGTTAGGTTTGGGCATGGAAGCGGTTCTTGCAGTTTCAGCCACCGCGACCA